TTTTTTTTTTTTTTTTTTTTTTTTTTTTTTTTTAAAAAAAAGTCCGTTTTTTGGAAAACCTATGCACCTATGATGGAGAAATTCAAAGGTCGTTTTTGGCTCTGACGGCAAAAATTGGGTAGGAATAACCTTACTCATTACCTGAGAAAAACAAATTTTCCCCGCCTTTTCGACGCAAAACAATCGGATGTGCTTCGGATGGGCGGAGATGAGCACTTAAACGGAAAAACCTCGATGGTAGAAACAGAAAAAAATACTTTAATAGGCATGCAATTTATGATGTCTAAGTAATTTTGGCTGCAAAATTTGAAAATGACCGTAATTTTCTCCATCGTGCACAGATGTTCCGAAAAATGGATTTCTCTTTATAAAAACTCCATTTAGGGAAAATTCCAATTTTTCTGGGGATTTTTGAGCTGGCCCAGAAAAATGGAGATCAATTCCGTTTTTTAAGCAAGTAAAATATTTAATTTTTTAGGTCGATTTTGTAGCCGTGGAATTTACATTGCTTCGTTTGAAAGGCACAATACACAAGAATCAAATTTTTCATTTTTGAGAGAACGTAAGTTCCATAGAACGGTATCCCTCATCTACCCGTATGTCTGGAAAGCAAGGAATGGTTGCTCATGAGATTTCAAATGTTATAGGACTACTTTAAAATTGAGAGCTCTTAATGAAAAAGTTATTAAATTTTGAACCTATTAATGAAAATACGTTTATACTCCGATCGCATCCCAAATGAGGCCATCCGTGATGTCTCGTAATGTTATTAAGACGATAAAAAAACCTTCATTTTTTATTTTCTATTTTCTCCTCTTACGATCTAGCGTGTTTCTCAGATAAACTGAGTATGAAGATCATAGCTGGAAAAATACTAGTTTGTTATTGTTTGAAGTCATTCCAGAAAAGGTATGTACTACGTGTAGCCTGGTTATTATCGGCTAGTAAATGGGCATCCTAGTGATGCAGTTGATCGTGATCAAGGTTTTCCAGTTTCTGTTGAAGAGCTTTTATCCTGAGGCACCGAGTAGGTTGGATACGACGTTACAATGAACCCACAACTAAAACGATGGGAACTTTTAAATTTTAACTGGAAAATCGCGGAGCCAATCGAAACAATCACACGGAAATGGTCTGCACTTAGAGCTGATGGAGCCTTCTTTCTTAGTGCGAAAAAAAAACTGTGAATGACGAGTAAACTTTGCCACATGCATGCATCCGTGCGTTGGAATGAACATTTTCCTCCTCTCTTCTGTTTTTTTATCTGAGCTTACTGGTTGTGCAAGCATACGGCCCGAATGAATTTTTTTCCACGGAAATTCTTGGCTCTTTTTATCCTGATTTTTTTTTTATAGAAAACTTTAACTTGTGTAAAGTAGTGCAATTGGCGCGTGTGAAAATTATGTAGAGAGTCCTATGCCTAGTCATGAGTAACAATAGTTTGCCTTATAGCACATTTTTACTTGAAAATACTACATGTTACTGAGTTATAGCTTTCATAAATCTATCCACGGAGAGAAAAAATTATTCGGATTTATCAAGCCATGTTTTTAATTTATTGGGAGGGAGCTTTTATTTTTGCCAACTTCCATAAATCGGCATTTTTGGTTTAGCTTAACGTTTCACTTTCGTTGTTTTTGCTACTAAATACATAACAAATATTGAATAAATTGAAAAAAGTTGATAATGTTGCAAAAGAAGGCATATTTTGATAATTAACGCCCGCTTGGCATTTTTTGTTTAGCTTCACGTTTCGATTTTTTTGTTTTTGCTGTAAAAGGGGAGAGGGGGAGAAGGTTCGGGGGTTTGTCTGCGTTTAAGTCTCCAGGCTCTCCTGTGTGTTTCTTGACTCATTAAAAGTGTAGGACAAGGAAATCTTTTTCACCATGACTATCATGACCAACTGGAATTGACAAAACGATAGTTGTAACACGTCACGTCATGAAATGGTTAACTTTTCTACGCTGGCGTTTAAGTCTCCAAGCTTCCCTGTGTTGGACAAGGAAAGTTTTTCATCATATCTATCATCCAACTGGAATGAGAGAATAGATATTGTAAATAGATATCACGTCATGAAATGGTTTACTTTTCTACGCTGGCGTTTAAGTCTTTAAGTTTATCTTTGTGTTTCCCGACTCATTAAACTCTTATTTGTATTTCTTTATAAGTTTTCTTTAATCAATCATTTTTTTTTCGCGAATATGAGTCAAGCAAAATTTAGCAGACCCATTTTTTTTAAAGAAAAAGGATTCGTTTTTCAAATGTTCACAATCGGTCTATCGAACAGGAGATCGCAAAATGTTTTGGTTAAACGCAGAAACACATCGATCTGGTGAAACAAAACAAGGCGGAATCCCGGATGGCAAAATAAAGTGGATTTTTATATTAACACATTTTTTTCAATATTTCATTTTTTCCCAATTTACTTTTTTTCAAATCGAGAGCTGCGCTGAACGCTAATTGAGAAGACTTCGTGCCGTCATGGTAGCGTAGTTTGAGTCTTACGCTTGATTTGACCTTCTACTGCTTGTAAGTTGCAACTGTTCATTGTTTTAGGATGCAAGACGGAGCTTGACAGCGGCAATCTATACATCCCCTCCCCTTTTGCTAGTGTATGTCGTTAGTCATTTTGTTTCTAGGGAGTAAATTGATGGATCTAGTGGACAGGAGGAGAAAATTCAATGGAGGGAGGGCCCAGGGATTTCACAGATGAATATTTAAAAAAAATTGAAAACCATTTTATTAGTTAGGCAAAAAGGCATCAACGTGATTTAATGAATGTGCTATTGATATTGTCAATTTGGTTACGACTCTATTTTTTTTTTAGAAAGCACTCCATATTTCTTAATAAGATGGATTATTCGTATATTTTTTTTTCTTTTGAAAATTTCCTTTAGTTCCTCATTCGATCCAACAGACGGCTAACATTCGTTCTCCAAAAAATCTGATCAGTGTATCAACAATTCATCAGAGCACAACATCTAGGACGAGAAGCTCAATCACTACCGGGTCAGAAATGCTGAGCGCCTTCATATAATCGTTTATGCAACATGGGCATCCATCAAGTACGAATAGTTGTATCAAGGCGCCTTAATCATCATTGCATCGCGGCGCATACGCACAATTGTAGGTAAGCAAAAACGCCCTGTCTTGGCTTACACTTGTCTGCGAATGAAACTTCCTGACTCGTTTTTGCATTACTGTTATTATCATGGTAGATTTTACGATTTTTTTCAATTAAACATTTTTTTAAGAACTTGACTCATGGCTGTCTATGGGAAAATAAATACTAGTACTGACAAAATCAACATTGAAGTATTGATGTATACCTGCTGTTCATGAGAATGTTTTTAACATATTTCGGAACAAATGTTTATTCTATTTTCTTAGCCTTGTAACCCATTTGCTTGGTATTTAATGTCGTGTTTTTATCGTTTCGGAACAAGCAATACTTAAAATTATGTAAAATTAAACCAGAGTTGCCATCATTTGAATATTTTTTCAGTTTAAAAAACGTAGTTCAAATAGGAAAGCTTTGGTGAGTTTTAATCTACCGCACAAGCGGAGCTCAAAATTATAGGACTTTAATGCAACTTCACGCTTTCATCGCCAAAAAAAAAAAAAAATACAGAAAAGCATTCATTATTCATTCATTTAAACATTCCAAAACGCGTTCTACCAACAGGTGGGCTCTATTTTTTTTTTTTTTTTTTGCTTTATAAAAACCCGTCTCCTAAAAAATCTGCTCAATATTTGCTTTTCTGGCCAGAACTGTTTCTCCGTTTAAGGAGAAAACAAACAACAACACATATTTATACATTTGTGCCCTAAATTGTGATCGAAATAATTGAAAACTGCACTGGATTGCATATAGACTCGCTAGTTTTTCAAAATTTCGCGCGGGGATGACTCCTCAGGTCGCCTCCCGGAATCCAATCCGTCATTTTGATGTCTCTTAAATATTGCGGTCATTCAACACCACTGAGTGGACACCTCCCGCCACCTAAGTGCTTACCTCCTCGCCAAATAAGGTTTGAGTCCTTTGCTCGATGGTCTTGCCTTTTTTCTGCCGAACCATGAGATAGATACGACCAACACCTTTGCATGTCCTCAACAATTTCTCGATCAGAACTTTGCCCATAAACCCAGTGGCGCCTGTGATCAAAATGTTCTTTCCTGTGTAAAAACTGACCACCTTTGATTCATTTTCAATTCGAATGGGCTCCATCGTGTGTTCGTATCTGAAAGCAGAAAACGTAGTAAAAAAATCAATTGTAGCCTCGAATATTCTTTTCATTTTTTGGAAAATGTACATAATTTACAATTAAATCAGCTTATTATGTTTTTATGGCACGCATTACGTGATAAGAAGAATTTTTTTTCGTTCGAAGGAATCGCACGTCGAGAATTTGGTGCTCGTCAAGATGGTATTCCACATAACCTTTTTTCTCTCCGTATTTTTGACCTTGGATTTGCAATGAAACTTGCTGTTTATTCAATGGGTTTATGTAGCGTGACTTATCACAGCTTATTTTGTAAGAGCTAATTGAATCATAGGAAGAATCCAACTTGGCGGTTAGTTCCTCTTCAGATTTTTCTAGAATTTACGTCAATATAATGGTTATTCTGTAAGCTAACCGGGCTCCTTCGTAACATTATGCGCGGCTGAAAAATTTCATTTACAAGCAGAGCATGACTTTGATGCTATAAATGCTGAGAATCAGCGAACCTCAACCGTTCAATTGAGTTCCCAAAGTTTCACCTTTTAAAATTTTGGAGCTTACAAATCTTTGGCTTCGAGTTTTGAAAGAACATTGTTCACAGAAAAAATTTAGGGGTCCTCGAAAAATGACTGATTTTATTAGTTTCTCATGGGAGCAATGAAGTGCGACAGAAACTTTGGAGCACTACCAATTTTTATAAACATTTCTCGGGGTTACGAGATTTTGTGAACGTGTGTAACGGGGTGAATGAAGGTAGATTCCGCAAGAAAAATACAGTCATTGCTTAAATGCGAAAAACGTTACCGCAGACATATTAAAAGCAGCAAAGCTAGAAGTCAGAATGATCATACCGCTGCAGATTTATGTTAAAGCGTTAAAAAAACAAAGAGTCAGGGAAAAAATTGACTTCACTCGCTTACCGCGCTCGATGACTTTATAATCGTTTAAAAAAGTCGGTTTTACTACCACCGGATTTAATTTTCTTTCCCTCGCCGAGTACTTGAACGAGGAACCGTCGTTAGTCAGAGAGAGGTACTTACAATATTTTAAAAAGTGAAGGTTATCTTTGCTCTGGAAGTTTTAAATGAGGACTTTTTCCAAGGAAATAACGTTTTTTATCGCAAATACGCTCGTTCCAAGCGTTAGGTCTCTTGCTTGAGGGGCTCAAATCCTTTTGCCAAGGCTAGGAAGACCGCCCATCGCAAATTACATCATTATAAACAATTTTTTAGCGGCCGGTAACTCACTTCGACATTTTTAACAGGCGATTAAAACGACAATGCTGATTATATTTAGGATTTCATTAAAATTCAAAATTTAAAAATAAACTATTGAATTAGAAGCCGAGAGCTATGTTTTGTGTTAAACACACGGGTCAATTTACATATTATGGGAGGCTAGTCAGCACATTAGCCTGCGCCTCAGGGCGTGGGTTGTTTAGCGTGGCTGTTTTGTGTTGTCTGATATTTGTATAGCAGGGTGCTAAATTTAAAACTTTCCGACACAAAAATGCAGCCTCTGGGAGGCTGTATAGGGCTAAACAGAACACCCTTCTACAAACTTTCCCCTAACTTCGGTTCTGAATAACATTCATACAACTTCCGAAATAGCTTGAAAGATATTCAAAATTAAATAATCTCATACTGAGTTTGTAAATATTGAACCGTAAACAGCATTGAAAAAATAGTTGAAAAATCTTTTTATCACTTAATACCAAAGTCTCTTTGATTTAAAGAAACTTTTTTGCGGTAAAGTATTCTTCATCTGAGGAAAAATTTTTCAGTGAAAGGATTTCTTTTAGTTGCGATGTTTTTTTTCCATTGACTTAAAGGAACTTAAACATATTTGTCATTGATGAAAAATTACAATTCCCTAAATTTTTTTCAAAAAGAAAAAAACACACAGGTAAATCAAATAATTAGGATTAAGAAACATTGTTCTGACATTAAAAGGATCATCTCTACGTACCTCCAAAAAAATTTCATAAAATCATGGAGAGTTTTTAAACAAATTCACCATTTTTTTTTCTTGAGTCACACCTCTTAACTCGGGGTACGGTTACAGCCCTCCTTGAGCTGGACCCAAATCTGGGACTGCGTCGCAAAATTTTCCTAGACAAAATTACCAATCCCTATAACCCTTTTTACCAGTATTTCTAGACCACTTGCTATTTTCAGTGAGGAAGCCAATCCTGACCATGCCGAATGTTATATCCTGATAGTCTAAGAATTCTCAAACTTCTCGTATGAAGACTTTCCTTCGATATTCAATAAGAGATATCTTTATAAAATAATGAAACCTGTAGGGCGTACCTAGGACGCATAAAACTTTCTAAACGAGCAAGAAGATGTAGGTACGTAATCAAGAACATTAAATTACTCTCTCTTTGAATGAAGCAAAATCATTTAAATGTGAGCTTGGATCATTTAGACGTATTTCTGCCAAACGGATCTATATGCATCAAGGCATGAGCCCTAAGACCCATAAGAATGTATGCACAACAGGGCTCAAGTCATAATGCATACAGTTTCGTTTGGCAGAAATACGTGCATTCATCCTGAGCGCGGAAAGAAATGGAGCGTGCGGCGTAGTGGGTCAAATGCGGGAGCGGGTAGTGAGCAAGTCACTCACAATTATAAATGAGAAGTGTCAGGAATGTCTGATACCGATCATGTGATTTATAGCGCGACAGGTGAGTGCCAACAACAGTGCGCGGGAGCTGAACCTACAAGGTGATCTACAAGTCTCGCGCCACCCCTATGACCCCTGGGATTCTTCCTTTTGCTACCTTTCGGGTGATCTCCCTAAAAGTTTAAGGGCCCCAAAGTCGTTTCTTTTGACCTTGGAGCACTCATAAAATTTCAAGTCTCCTTGTCAATGGGTCAAATGGACGTATTTCTGCCATAAACGGAACTATATGCATTACGCCGTGAGCCCTGTTATGCATGTATTCTTATGGGTCTCAAGGCTTATGTCTTAATGCACATAGTTCTGTTTAGCAGAAATACGTCCAATTCTGCTGGTCAAAGATTCGTGTTTTGATGATTGATCCTTGTAGATTAGCTAGAAATAATAAGATCCGTCCGAACAGCAACTTTCTACTTTCAGTATTAATCAAGGTATCGTGCTTTGAATAAGTTGGATTATGACGTCATCCACCATGGTAGTGACACTCTTGGTTTCTTCCACCTTGCTTTCATCCGAACTTCACGTTGAGTAACCTGTGCAAATGTGTGTCTCCTTGATATGACTAATGAAAGCAAGGTAGAGGCAACCAAGGGTGTACTATACCGCGGTGGATGATGTCATAAACCGACTTTTTTAAAGCGTGATGTCGGTTAATACTGAACGTAGAGTTACTGTCTGGACACATTTTATTATTTTTAGCTTAACTAGAAGAATGAAGCATCAAGATACGATTCTGAGACCGGCGCAACTGACCCATTTGTTAAAAAATTACATGAGTGATGCCGGCTGTAGATTGCGCGGGGCTTTTCGATCACCCTGTATAATGTGCAAGTGCAAGTTGCAGTTGTAAGCTGCAAAGGAACTCGTGCGCACGGGAAGCAAGAGTAGGAGAAGATGAAGACCTCGGATATTCCCATGAGTCGAAACGGCAAACCGACGACACGACGACGCGTAGACCGAGTTAGCGACAAAACCGGCAAGGAGGAAACTTAGGATAGTCATTGAGGAATGTTAATTGCAAGTGCGTAGGCTGCCAGTTCGCTAGAGCTACACACAGGTCGAGAGACGAAATTTAAAATTTTATGCTTTTCTTGGGCATTTTATCCCCTTAAAAATATTACGAAATAAAGGATTCACCCTGCTGAAAAAAAGTCCCTCGCTATCTATACCTGCAACCTAAATCTAAAAAAAAGAACAAAAAAAACAACAAATCGTGAGCTGCCAGTTCGCTAGAGCTACACACAGGTCGAGAGCCGAAATTTCAAATCTTATGCTTTTCTTGGGCATTTTATCCCCTTTAAAATAAAACTAAATAAACGATTCACCCTCTGAAAAAAAGTCCCTCTTTCTATCTGCGCCCTAAATCTCAAAAAATACAAATCGCGAATCAGCTTAATTAACATGTGAGCGTCAAATTTCAGTTTTTCATACTTTCCATTCTATTTATTTATTTTTTAGCCTATTTGTAATCCGTAATAATTCAATAATGTAGTCGTCTCAAAATGAACATTACTACGGACCGATTGTTACAAGTTCAAGGAGGGTTTCTCATTTTTTATAGGAAGATTGAGGGTTTCAAGAATAAATTATCAAAACAGAATAAAATTATAACAATTTGCCGTCATTTTATTGTGTTATCAACTTGTTTAAATTTTATTCAAACAAATTTAATTCAAATTAGAAAATTCATTTCTCCCAATAAATTTTATCATTTGTCAAAGTTGAATTTTATTGTGAAGTGCTTGAACTGCGGTTAACTGATAATGATTGCTCATTAGAAAAATCTAGATTTTTTTAATGTATATACTTACTTGTCATTTCAGCACAAATTCAAAAACTAGTTATAGAAAGTATTAACAGCCGCGAGGAAAACTAGTTTCAAGGAATATCTAAGGAATCTAAGGAATTAAATTTCTTTTAAATTTTGAATTGACATCTCAAGAAGTTGTTTCGCTGCGCGACACGTAAGAGGACGATGAACTTATCAGCATGTCTCGATCTCCGTTCGAGGAATTTAAATTTATTTAAGAGATTGAATCCACAGTGTCTGGCTCAAAATAGCGTGGAGTAAAAAGTTTGTTAAAAACTTCACACAGTTTAAACAAAAAACCGCGTGATTCCAGGTGTGGCGCGGACGATAGGCTTTTTTCACCTGTATAACTATTCAGGTGACTCACAACCAGATGAATTAATTTAAAAGCCATGCACGGAAGATATTTCGCATACGACACTAAATAAATAGCTGAACCATGAAAATTATCTGTTGACAGCAGATGGCAACCTACTTCATGGCAGAAACAAAAATGCAAAATTTAAAAAAAAAACAA